TTGTTTTCTGTGAGCGCTGTCACTGCGTTATGACCAATCAAAATCTGCCAAGCTCTGTGTTATTTTCTAAATGCTCCAATCGCTGCTTAGCAATTGTTGCTATCCTCAATTGCTTCAGTATGTTATCAGCCCCCGTCATGTTCGTGACTAGCGTTAGGACTCTGAGTTCCTCAGAAGTTTCTGGAGGGTTTTATTTGACTCAGTCAATTTTATTTGAAACCACACAGTGAGGAGTGACTGGTTCTCAGCTGACCTCAGAACAGCTGTGGTTCGGCCACAGACTAAAATGCCTGCTCTGTTTATCTCTCTACGAGACGCTATCAGAGCCGGTTTATGAGGAGCCTGGCCACTCCCTATTCCTCCCGTTATATCAAAAACAGGACTGCTAAACAGCAGAGGGCGCCCGCGAGCGAGTCCTAAATGAATGGGAGTAAATGGAGCTAAACGGCTAAAAACAAAAAGTTAAAATTGTTTCTAACCACTGAACCAGAACTTTCCTTTAATTTTAGAAAGTAGAAGGATGAATTTCACTAAAAAAGCGAAGAAAACTCACCTGGGGCAGCAGGAGGCAGGCTTTACTGTTAGAGAGGGATGATTGGCGAGCGGAGCAGCTCATTTGCTGTTTGCGCTCACTGACGTCATGGACCTTTTAAGCTCTTAAAAATATAACAGCAGTGTTAAAATGTTTTATGCTGTTCTGTGTTCAGGAAATCAATGTATTCTTTTACATTAAAAATGTTTAAACATTTATAGACTATGATTTTGCTCAAATGCTCCATCTTAGCCCATTCATTTTGGACTCACTCGGGAGCACCCTCTAGCGTTTGAGAAAACCGGAAGACATTGCTGAGTGGAAATTCTCCTCTCTACAAGTTCTCTGATGCTATGCTGCCCTGAAAGCCAGAGCAACGTTTACTTTGACTTCTTGAGATGTTCAGGTATGCAGCACACAGCTATAGGCTAACATATAACATCGCTATGGTAAAAATGTAAGTTCATGAGCATAATTTACACATTATGCTTGTAAAATGCAAATTTAATTATTAACTGTTTTATTCAGAGCACTCAGAACGTTGCTAGCTAAACCAGCATGTTTTACTCGTGTTCCAGCAGCTGCTCAGTTTAGACTACAGGCTCTGCAGTTGGCTATATTAGTGATTAGATGCGATATTAAAGCTGTATTTTGTCACCGATAATAAACTACAGCCAGCGTGAGAAAGTTCACTGTTAACCTAGCATAGTGATGGTACAGCATCATGTAGCTAACATTACTAACAACTCACAGTTGGTCTAATGCTCAAATGTGACAGTTATTTTATTCACTATGAGATGTAGGTAACATTTCTTCAAAATGGACCTAAAATTCTGATCCTAGTTACAGACCTGATCAGTACATTTTAAAATGATGCTGGTATTTAAAAATGATTCTGTTATTTCAAAATGTTCAAATCCCTATTTCACGTCTGAACTGCCAAACATCAATTAATGGTGTGGGAGCTCACCAGTAAGTGCTGCTGATAGAAAGAAGTGAAAAATCTGAGCCAATTTCATTTTAGCATTAGCTGGAACTGAGCCTGTGCTGTGCTGTGTGGCCCGTTTGACTTGCTAACTAAGCTAACTTAGCCAAAACACTACACTACTCCACTCACTCGACTTCCGCTCTCTTAGACGTTAGTTTTTATCATCTACAGCAGAGCAGAAGTCAGTCAGAATCAGACCTGTATTGTGGTGGGTCTGTAGCTGCTCGCTAAGCTAATGTTGACACCACAGAACAGGTTTACTTTCACCTTTCTGTCCCTTCAGTACCAGCTGCTCGACTTCACTCCCTCAGATTTGAATCATCATCATCTAAACTTGGTTTATCCAAAATCTGATGTTTCTGTAGTGAGCAGAGCTGTTGTTGTGCTAACTAAGCTTATGCCAACCAGCTCCTCTCTCCTAGCAGCACTGTTTAACTTTTATCAGTTGATAGATGGTTTGACATTTATTGAATGATGCGGTAACCCTTTCTATGAATGTCACCTTTGTAAGCATCTATAAACACATTTATAACATTATAATGTGTTCATAAGGCATTATAAACATGGTTATAAATATTTATAAAAAAGAATTACTCTGAATTACACTTTATAGCCATGTTTATTATACATTATGAATTGTTAATATAATGCATTATAAATAGTGTTAATAACATGTTATAATGTCAGTGCCAAAGAAGTCATTCCCAGCTTGGAGAGTGTAAAGTAAAGACAGTTTAAACTCTGACATTTGAAGCCTGTAATGTGCTTTATTGTGTATGTTTTAGTGTTTCAGTAAATCCTTCAGTAAATACTTCAACTTGAAGCCTCACTCTGAACACTGGAGGAGGCTTTAGTACAGTACGCTTCACCTTACTTAGAGTGGACAAATACAACTTATGAGCTCTTATAATTTATTATGATCGGTACTTATAATGTATTATGTTAACAATTCAGCATGCATAATAAACATGGCTATAATATATAATGCATTTTTATAAATATTTATAGCTATGTTTATAATGTCTTATGAATGCATTATAACATGTTATGAATGTGTTTATAGATGCTTACAAAGGTAACATTCATAGAAAGTGTTACCAATGATGCTTTGAAAACTGCACTGCGTTCTCTTATTTCTTATTTGGAGCCATTTTGTCCTTTCAACAAAAATCAAACCAGCTTGGGAGCCACAACATTTTATGTCCATTTTACCATCGTGGCTGTAAATATGTCTCAGTATGTGCTGATGAAGTAGTACAGACTAACAAATATAATAGAAACAAAAACGCAGACTTACTTTGCTCTGCTTTAAGCTTTAGCTCAGCTGTAGCCGCTTTTCTCGCATCTCCAGCAGGAAACAGTTTCTTGTAAAAGGTCTTTCAATGTTCGACTTTTTACAAGGCTGAAGTCGCTTCTCATTCGCCAGCTTCTTGTTTAAATTGTCCCGTTCCACCTTAAATGGTACCTGAGGCACCAGAATGCAACTGCGGCACCATTTACCATTAGGTGGAACGGGAAAATTCAAATGAGAAGCTGCCAAACGAAAAACTGGCTTCAGCTGACGTATTAGGAAACCATCTGGAGTGATTATAAACACAAATCCTTTCGTCTCTAAATTATCAATGTTTGTCTTAAATCTCTCTCTTTGCCGTTTCATTAGCTACTAGCTAGGTGAGACTGTTGTCTGTGTTAAAGGGTGAATTAGCAGTTCTACATTAACTCCAGAGTTTTAGACCATTTATTGTTAAACTGTGTTGAACGATCAGCAGAGCTTTATTTTACTGTAAAGGAAGATTATTTTATTTTTACCTACAAATCTGATTCTGCTGTGGAGCTGCAACAGGGCAGTAAAAGAGCCGACCCCTGCATTAGGCTATATCTCAAGCTCGATGTGTTTTCTAGTGTTGAACCTCAGCATGTATCTATAGGAGTGACGCAATCGAATACTACGCCACATATCAGCACTGTGATTGGTTTGGTCACCGCTCAGCTCACTTGCATTAAGTTCCTTTAGAATGAGAGATGTGTACATTAACGGCTTGATGTGTCAGTTATATGTTCTGTTTGAAGTAAATGACCCAAAATATTCAAAAATAAAAAAACAGAGTAAATTATTTTGCATGACGTCACAAACATGCTGCTTAAAAGTTTTAGCACTCTCAACTGAAAACACTTCCCGCATGGCTGTAGAGTCTCAGCCATTCACGCTGTTAGCGTTAATAGAAAAGACTCTGAGAGCTCTTTCTGTCTGTTTTCTCAGCTATCAGAGAGAGAGAGAGAGAGAGAGAGAGAGAGAGAGAGGGCTTTCAGTCGTTCTCTCACCCCTGTCCTTTCATCTCTGCCCTTCGTTTGGTTGAGTGCTGCACTCTTGCCATTTTCAGCTTTCTCTGTCTCGGTCTCTCCTGCCTTTCTCCCTCTCTCTCTCTCTCTCTTTTCTCTACACTTTCTGTAAGCTATATTGTTAATGGATGATTCTCAACACTTTACGGTGCCAGACAAACACAAGCCCACCATTACGCTGGGTAATGTGTTGTTAATGGACCTGAATCATGATCTACACTCATACAGTCATAAAGAGTTGCTCACATACAAAGACGTCTAGCAACTGTTTTTAACATGTTTATTTTGTCAAATGATGGATGTTCCAACAAGAAAATGCACAGTTCATTAAGAGAAATTTAGGCTTGATTTAAAACCCTTTGAGATCTTGTTTGGTTATGTTGGGAAATCCCACTACTGTGGATGATCTGTGGGAACTGAGGGAAGCAGTTCCTTTAAAAAACTTTAGAAAAGTACGACAAAGCAGTGAGAAAAACACGGCACCATCAGTCACCATGTTTCCATCGACTTTCTGCACAAATTGCAAGCGATAAAATGAAAATGCATAAAAATAAATGTGATGTTTTTGCTGTTTCCATCAAACTGAGCTTTAGCGATAAAAATGCTTAATGATGCACTGATTTAAATTACTGCAAATGTTGTCGCAAATTTTAGTACATAATTTCTATCTCTTTGCTGACTTTAACATATTTAAAAAAATATTTGAAAATATAAAATGTGCCGTAACTTGCCCTGCGATGGACTGGCGACCTGTCCAGGGTGTTTCCTGCTTTCCGCCCATTGACAGCTGGGATAGGCTCTAGCTCCCCCCGCAACCCAGAAAGATAGGCAGCTTGGAGAGTGTGTGTATGTGTGTGCCATAACTTTTGCACAGGCCACATTTTATGTTTTATTTTTTTAACCATATGTTAAATTCAGGAACTAAACAATAACTGTGTATTAAAATGTGCAGAAATGTGTTTTCACTTAGAAAATCAACCAAACATGAAATTTGACAGGGGGTGCCCAAACTTTTGCATAGAGCTGAATATGGATGCATTCTTTCAGTTCTCCAGATTTCCAGCAGGGGGCGCTTTAGCAATATGCATGACTTCCCCAGCTTTCCATGTTTTTGGGTTTATCTCTCTCTCTCTTCCTCAGGTAATATCTTTGTGGTGAGCCTTTCCGTGGCCGACCTGGTGGTGGCGCTGTACCCATACCCTCTGGCCCTGCTGGCCATTTTCCACAATGGCTGGACGATGGGCTACCTGCACTGCCAGCTCAGCGGCTTTGTCATGGGCCTGAGCGTGATTGGCTCCGTCTTCAACATCACGGCCATCGCCATCAACCGCTACTGCTACATCTGCCACAGCCTGCGCTACGACCGGCTGTACACGCGCAGGAACACCTGCCTCTACCTGACCCTCACCTGGCTGCTGACCGCTGTGGCCACCTTGCCGAACTTTCTGGTGGGCTCCCTGACTTACGACCCCCGGGTCTTCTCCTGTACCTTTGCACAGACGGTCAGCTCCTCCTACACAGTCTGCGTGGTGCTCATCCACTTCCTGGTGCCGCTGGGCGTGGTCTCCTTCTGCTACCTGCGCATCTGGGCCCTGGTGATCCGAGTGAAGGGTCGGGTGCGGGCCCGGCCGGGCGCGCGGACGGCCGACCTGCGCAACTTCTTGACTATGTTCGTCGTCTTCGTGCTCTTCGCCGTCTGCTGGGCTCCACTGAACTTCATCGGGCTGGCCGTGGCCATGGACCCCGCCCGAGTGGGCCCCAACATCCCCGAGTGGCTCTTTGTCACCAGCTACTTCATGGCCTACTTCAACAGCTGCCTGAACGCCATCGTCTACGGCCTTCTGAACCAGAACTTCCGCCGTGAGTACAAACAGATCCTGCTGGCGCTCTGCACGCCACGGGCACTCTTCTCGGACAGCTCCAAGTACAACACGGACGCCTACAAGAGCAAGCAGTCACCCGCAGGGACCAACAACAATCTGGTGGAGGCTCACCTGTGAAGGGGCGGGGATAAATGTGAATAAGGCGAGGGGCTAACCATGCACCCGTATGCAAAATGGGAGATGTTGAAAGGTTAGCAAGGAGGGACCCTTAGACACCATCACTAGAGACTTCAACTGAAAACTACAGGTTTACATCCCAATCCAACCAGCCAAAAAGCTAGCATACAATCATGCATGCTAGTTTCACATATCGCAAAGTAATTCTGGCTCAAGTCTCATGTCTTGTCTCCATCACATAAATTACTTTGATGGCTAAAGAGGTAGCCCTACTAGTGTCCACATCACACATTCCTGGAACAAACACAAATCAAGCATGCTGCTATCCACATCACACAAATTCTTGAAGCAACCATGAAGCTAGCTGCAGTCACACATGCTACTTTCTGTTACACAGCTAACTCAAATGGCTAAGAAGCTAGCCTACAGTCATGCATGCTAGTGGCTACATCACACAAATTCCTCAAGTGACCAAAACAATAGCCTACAATCACGCATGCTGGTCAACACCAAACAGAATTCACAATCAACAAAGAAGCTTGTATACATCTCATGTTAGCATCTCGTTTCTAGCGGCTAGTCCTGAAAGCTTTCCTAGACACGAGTCAAGGCCGATCCAGGGCTTAAAAGGGAATTTGTCAGATGTTTTTAAAAGTTCCTAATTCGTGCATAATTCAGTGGTTGAGATGCAAACAAAGTAATTCAGAGTGATTTGATGTGAAATGGTTCGTTGTGGAGAAACTTACAGACTCAAATATATCAAAACTGACCGAAGTGAGCCATTTTGTTTCCTAGCCAAAATGACCAGTAAACCTACATGTGTGTTCTGAGTTTTTATATGTTTATGACAGCGGTGCGGACTTGAGTCATATGACTTGGATTCGAATCCGACTCGAGTCACAAATTTGATGACTTTAGACTCGAGAAAGAAAATCGACAAAGACTTGGGACTCGACTTTGACTTCAGCACCAGTGACTGGGACTCTGAGAAATGCAGACTGACTTGTTTAGGACTCGAAGATTAGAACTACTGACTTGGGACTCAACTTGAGACTCGCCTGTACTGACTCGGGACTTGAATAGAGACTCGACTATCTTGACTTGGGACTTGACTTGAGACTTGAGCGTTAACACTTGAGACTTACTTATTACCTGCAACTTAGTGACTTGTTCCCATCTCTGGTTTATGATGGTAAAATGATGGTAAATTTGGTAAAAGTACCTTTCTTTGGGAACTATTTTGCCTCTTAACGACCTGCATGTCCCTCTTTGCCTTGAATGTATTTAAAAAGTACATTCCAGGCCATCTTGAAATTATTGTAACGCAACATTTCAGGCAACCATTTCATGTAAGATCTTTCCATGAGGGAGCTTTTAGAGACAACTCTTCAGACGTCTGGTTCCAATCACCACCACTGTGAGCAATTCTGACATAATGTTGAATTTCTCTTGAACAGAGTGTTTTGCATCAAACCCCTGAGAAGTAGGTAGAATTTCCCTTAAAAGTGACTGACATATAGTCGAAGATTTTCCATAGCAATCTGAACGGAATCTGAGTCCTTAAAGCCAGTTTAAATCCTATGAGAACTGCACTGTTTATCATGGAATTAGTGCCAGATTCCACAGGATAATGAGCTGAGGAGTTGAATCGGTGGAATAGTCTGTTGCCAATCAGGACTGGGAGGCTGATAATGATTTAAGGAGTGTTTTTTCTGGTGCTGCTGGTCAAATTTTAAGTGAACAATCCTCTTTTACTTAGCCTGTGTCCGAGAACAGGCTCTGACAATCAGATCTGTTGGTCTTCTTTGCTGATCGGATTTCTGTGGACTTCTGTGGTTTAGTGTTTTCAAACTACCCATAACCATGTCTGAACCTGATCTACATCCTCATCTAGGCTGATTTATACTTCTGCAGCATATTTTTGTAGAGACACAGAAATGGGGTGCAATTTAAAAATCTCTACATGTTGCGTGAAGTTAATGTGGTGCTGCATGTCTAAATAAACCACAGCAGCATCCTTTGAAAACGGCAGGTGTGCATTTTCAAACATTTCGTAATGAATGGACCAATAGAAATGGTCCAAAATGACTTGTTACATTAACATGTTAAAAAATAAGAATGTTATTTCCTTCTGCTTAAGTTACCATTTCAGATATAGAAGGTTTTCTTGTATTTGATTGGTTGTGTTAGGAAGTGCAGCTGGTAGGGCTTCAAGTTACACACAATATTGCCACAAATGGTCCTCAAGACCAGCGTAAACACCTTTGATCTATATTGTACCCAGTATTTCACCTCTATCCATTAACTTTCTACTGCAAGACCTTTCTGGGTGTAACGAAAATAGGTACATTGACGCATTTCGCTAAAACCTGCATAAGCAGTTTGCATAAAAAATGTGGCCGTACAGCTAAACATGCCGTGTTAAGCTGGAAAAAAAGATATGGAACCAAAAAAGCACCCGATTAACCTCTATAGGTGCTGTTTACATTCTCAATGGCTACCGTTGACAATATCTGTAGTCTGAGATTTGCTGTAACGTAAACTTAACCATTATCTAGCCAACAGAGCTTCAAATTCAGCACAAAGGAGGCAGACAGAGAAGTGCATTTATACACCTTTTTGTTTATTATTAATCCACATCTGTACCACCTTCTGTTTTCGCACATGCGCAGACTGAGAAATCCGAAAGAAATCAGAGTAAGAGCTCACATGCATCTGATTACTGTGAAATCTGATTACTGGGCTGAAATCCAACTCTTTTTATCAGATTTCTAGACCTTACTCTGATCTAAGAAATCAGTGTGCTGCTTACATGACCGTTTGAACAATCAGATAACTGCAGAAATCTGATTATGATCGAATTATCGAGTGCATGTAAACGCACTCATTGGTTATCAAGCATAGATATGTAGCTATTGCTCACATGACGACTGCATTTGAGGGTGTAAATGACGGTACAAAAGACAGAGTATCTCTGACCCCTCAACAGACTAAATAATGATACGATTAAAAAAATTTCTCTGCTTTTAGCTCCTGCAGTGTTTAGTCTGATGCAGTATTTAAGGTAAGTTTAGATGTCTGGATATGGTATCACAAGCAATAATGCATAATCAGAACTGAGCTACATGTAAGAAGCTGACCCTCCAAGAATCTCACATCGACCTTTGACAGCGTCAGCTATTTTCGTTACACCAGGATTGAAAACAGAGATTTGTTCATTTTTCTTCACATTCCAGCTTGGTAAATGTAACAGTGCCCCCTAGTGCACACTTTAACATTGCATATCATCGCTGATTTGCTACCACAGAAGGATAAATCAGTCCTTGGAAAGATCTGAACTACATTCCCCAAAAGCACAGTAATAAAAAACCTCATTATGCCCTGAAGCTAACTTCACATGTAGCTTTGCAAGGCCTGTGTTTTGCTACGAAGCACCAGAGGCCTGGCCTAAACCTGGCTTTTCAGACTTCAGGGGAATGACTAGATTATCAGATTATGGTGCGGAGGGGAAATGAGGTCTGATTGGCCCGTCTAAACGCAGCCTCGGGACCACAAGTAGCCGACTGAGGGGGGGAACATTCATGCTAACCGTTCCAAAATACCTCAGAGGCATTGGGCTCTGAGCCAGCCAGCAAAATATGGTTTTACTTAGTAACAGATAAGGAGGCGTAAGACTGATTCTCCAGAGAAAAACATGCAACTTCTACACAGAGGCGTAGTTTCTCGCTGCTGTCGGGAGAAAAACCTCCCCAACAACAACAACAACAAAAACCAGCCAGGTTTCGTTTTGTGATAAAAATTATTACCTGAATGTCTCTGATCCCTCAATTTTATATTAAAAATCAAGTATGGACAATTCAAAACATTTTCCTTCTGTTCTGTGAATTTTGATGAGATTTTAGTCTCGCAGCAGCGAGATGTGAACTGTGTTTTTATATTTACAACATGATTATTTTTGTTGAAATGTGGTTTTGAAGCGTATGTGTAAATATATTCTATATTGTATTTTTCACTGTATTGTCGCTGTATTGTCGCTGTAACCTTGTTGAGACGTCCACTCTGTTTATGCTTGTTCCATTGTGTTTATTGATGCTGAAAACTAAACATTGTGTTTTCCTTTGTTGTTGTATTGCCATTCTTTTTCTCTGTGGCCAAACAGAGACGCCAGTATAAGTAGCTCAATGGTAATATATGCAGGTGGGTGACAAATTAAAGGTGCTATAGAATGTATTTAATCTGTTTTGTAAATTGTTCTTTGATATCTACATAGAAGGTGTGTCGGGGGCAAAAAAATATACAGATGTGGCTTTACACGCTGATTTACAGCCATTTGATTGGACCCTAGAATGAAGCTGTTTTTCTTTTTTGGTGAACTAATGAATAATCTGATGAGCTCTGCTCTGATTGGCTGGTTTACAGCGAGGCACCACAATGGCTAACACAGAACTAAATGTTGCATGGAAATAAAATAAATACACTGCAAAAAATAGTATCTTGTCAAGTAAAATTATCTTAAATCTAGTTGAAATATAAAATATTTCTCCTGAGCTTGAAACCAGCCAAATCATCTGGCAGTACAGTGAGATAATTTTACTTAATAAAATTACATTAAAACAGGTAAAAATAAACAGAAATAAGCTAAATGATCTTATAATAAGTGCACGACCATCTCCAAATAGGAAATATTAGATATATTAACTAGAATAAGGATCATTTCACCTGACGAGATACTATTTTTTCAGTGTCAGCTGGGTCATCATACTGTTTAGTTAGCTATGCTAGTTACTTGCTTGCTAGCAGCTAACGCTACCTGTACTAGCTACTTGCTTTCGATCTTGAAAACACAAAGTGAATTAAAGTTGCTGTTTCACTAGGAAACTTTACATTTAAGATGATCTACTTAAAGTCAAAAAGTGGGTAAAATCACAGGACGGCTGCTGCTTACAGGACAGGTTGCGGTTGGGATTCTGATGCTAACAAAGTTGAAACTGCCCCGTCCTAAAATCTAGCACCTCAGAACGGCGTGTGCAAAAATAACTCCAAATATTAAAATTAAAGTGCTAAAGATAAAGACAATAAAATGCAATAAACTGCAGTGCTGAACAAAACGCACAAGAAAATGATAGTCTTTAAACTACACACTTACAAAAGATGGTTCTTCAAGGGTTCTTTAGTAAAGAAAACGGTTCTGTGTAAAACCATGAAGACTCAGAGAACCCTTTGCATGATTAAAGGGTTCTTTGCATCATGAAGGGGTTCTTCAGACTGATGGAGAATGTGTAGCAGTTGGTTCTATTGTGACAATGTCGAGCTTGTAACAATAGAGGAACCCGTTTGGGTGATATACGGAACCCTTTTTCACACAGCTCTGATAGATAAAGGCCAGTGCTCTCATGTGGGGGGCTTGAGGGGGTCACTGAACGGTTTGATAAGGATGAAATTATAGAAATCATACACTCTTTAAAAGTTCTTGAAGGGCTCTTTAGTACTATATAGAACCATGAACACTCAAAGAACCATTTGCATGCTTAAATAGTTCTTTGCATGGTGAAATCGTTTTTCTCATTGACCAAGAATGTGTTGTATTTGGTTCTATTGTACCAGAATGGGTTATTCTGTTGTTACAAGCTTGACATCGTAACAATAACAATAGCAGAACACTTTTCGGTGCTATACAGAACCAGTTTTATATAGTACCATATACAACACATTTTCCATCAACCTGAAGAACCCATTCATGATGTAAAGAATCTTTTAATCATGCAAAGAGTTCTTTGATTGTTTGTGGTTCTATCTAGAACCATTTTCTTTACTAAAGAACCCTTGAAGAACCATCTTTTTTAAGAATGTAGACTCTAAAATGGCCACATGTGGAGCGTATCTGACCTTGTCTGGGAATTTGTTCCAGCAGTTGGCATCACACTGACTGAATGCTGCCTCACCCTGTTTGGTTCTGATTCTGGACACTGCTAACTGACCGGTCCCGAGTGGTCAGAGAGGCCTACTGGGTTTGGATACTTCAAGCACATCAGTGATGTATTTTGGTCCAACACCAATCAGAGATTTATATACATTAGAAACACTTTAAAGTCAGTTCTGTAGTTAATTGGTAGAGAGTGCAGTGAGTTGAGGAGGATCTCAGTTCTCATGAGCAGTTTATCAGCTGCTCTCTGAATAAGCTGTAGCCTAATTGGGCTCCTGGGACGGACAGTAAAAAGACCTCTGCATCGTCCAGCCTGCTGGACATAAACACATGAATTAGTTTTTCTACACTCGTAAAAAAGATGGTCTTTCAAGGGTTCTTTGGTAAAGAAAATGGTTCTGTATAGAACCATGAACATTCAAAAAACCCTAATTATGATTAAAGGGTTCTTAAAGGGTTCTCATCATGAAAGCGTTCTTCAGATTGATGTATATTTGCATAAACGTGCTTTTTTGATAAAGGTTCTATAAAGCACCAGAAAATTTTCGTCTGTTGTTACAATGTCTCGTAATTATAGGAGAACCCTTTTGGTGCTATGTAGACCTCTTTTTCAAAAGGTTCTGTATAGAACCATGAACACTCGAAGAACCCTCTGCAGGATAAAAGGTTCTTTACATCATGAGAGGGTTTTTTAAAGCGTTCTCATTGTGAAAGCGTTCTTCAGTTTGATGGAAAATGTGCATGAATGTGCTATAGATGGTTCTATATAGAACCTTTTTGAAAAGAGTTCCATATAACAGCCAAAAGGGTTCTTCTGTTGTTACAATGTCAAACTTAAATAATAGAAGGACCCTTTTGGTGATGTGTAGAACCCTTTTCAAAAAGGTTCTATATAGAACCATGAACAATTAAAGAACCGTCTGATCAGTAGCTTCTTTACATCATGAAAGGTTGATATATATGTGAATAAATATTCTATATATGGTTCTATATGGAACCTTTTGGAAAAGGTTCTTCTACTGTTAGAACATCAATCTTGCAATAATAGGAAAAACGGTTATATATGCTATATAGAACCCTTTTGAAAAAGGTTGTATATGGAACCATGAACACTCAAAGAACCATCTGCATGATTAAAAGGTTCTTCACATTATGAAAGGGTTCATGTGGGTTCTAAATAGTACCCAGAAGTGTTCTTCTATTGTTACAGTGTCAATCTTGTAATCATAGAAGAACCCTTTTCGGTGCTTTATAGAATGCTTTTCAAAAAGTTCTATATAGAACCATATTCAACACATTCTCCATCAATCTGAAGAACCATTTCACAATGCAAAGGACCCTTTAATCATGCAAAGGGTTCTTTGAGTGTTCACAGTTCTATATGGCTCTATGTAGAGCCTATAGCACATTTATGCATGTTTTCCATCAATCTGAAGATCATTTCATGATGGGAACCCTTTGAGGACCCTTTAATAATGCAAAGGGTTCTTTGGGTGTTTACAGTTCTATATGGTTCTATGTAGAGCCTATAGAACATTTATGCATGTTTTCCATCAATCTGAAGATCCTTTCATGATGGGAACCCTTTGAGGACCCTTTAATAATGCAAAGGGTTCTTTGAGCGTTCATGGCTCGATATATTTTCTTTACTAAAGAACCCTTGAAGCACCGTCTGTTTCAGAGTGTAGATCGTGTGTTTAATATAAAACTGAACTGTCTTATTAAGCTGTAATGAAGGGTTCATACACTAAAGGAACGTCAGTAGAACTCGGTTCTCCCTCACTGGCAGGATTTAATTTGTTTTTCTGATATTTTTATTCAGATTTGTTGTTCAGGCCGTTCTGATGGCATAAACGATAGCAATCCTGAACAAATCTGTGGAGAGATGTTCTGCGGTTCTACGGATGATTCTGTTCAGCTCTTCGCTGATGAATAAGGGGCAAGGCTCCCATACAGGGGGCACGAGAGGGTCACTGGACGGTCTGATGAGGAGGAAATTAGATAAATCACACAGTCAAATGGTTCTTCAAGGTTTCTTTAGTGCAGAAAAGGGTTCTGTACAGAACCATGAACACTCAAAAAACCATTTGCATGCTTCAATGGTTCTTCACATTGACCAAGAATGTGTTGTATATGGTTCTATAGCACCAAAAAGGCTTCTTTTATTGTTACAAGCTTGACATTGTAAAAATAGCAGAACCCTTTTTGGTGCTAAATAGAACCATTTTTTAAAAAAACGTTCTATATAGAACCATAGAGAACACATTCACTATCTGAAGAATTTTTCACCATGCAAAGAACCATTTAAGCATGCAAATATTTCTTTGAGTGTTCGTGGTTCTGTATTGAACCATTGTCTACCAAAGAACCACTGAAGAACCATCTTTTTAAGCGTGTATGTCGTGGCCTTCACAGTCAGATCTCAACCCGTCTGAGGATCTGGGGAGCTGTTGGTGTGATGTGTTAGACAGAGCGTTCCGCCAAAGCACAAACTGAGGAGATATGTTCTGGAAGAACGCTGCCAGCTTGGTTCTCGAGAGACTCAGAGAATCTGTGTCAGGGAGCACCGGAGCTGTTCTGGACGCTGCTGATGACCCATCACCTCATTGAGACACTGTGTGATGTTTTTACCTCTAATGTGTCTCTCGTCTGTAAATCTACACGTTTCATATTCAAAAGAACTGAGCTGCTCTCTCTCTCTCTCTCTCTCTCTCTCTCTCTCTCTCTCTATATATATATATATATATATATATATATATATATATATATATATATATATATGTATATATGTGTGTGTGTGTGTGCAAATAGTACCTGCTCTGTGAGGGTCCATGGGGGTCCTGACCACTGAAGAACAGGGTAACAAAGTATGCAGAGAAACAGATGGACTACAGTCTGTAACTGTAGAACTACAAAGTGCACCTATATAGTAAGTGGAGCTGATAAAATGGACAATGAGCGCAGAAACAAGGAGGAGGTCATAATGTTATGGCTGATCTGTGTGTATATCGGTCTCAGTGAAAGCGTGGAGCGCTGTTTCCCTCTAGCGGCCACTGAGAGAACTGCAGGCGTCACAGTACCAGCGTCATGTGACAGCAACCCGGAAGCAAACCGCATCGCCTCTCAGTCAGTCGCGGGCTCCTGATGTTTTGAATTGGTTTAACTCGTTTTTTTTCGGTTTTCCTGCAAACAAAAAGATGCAAAACTACGACAGAACAGATTTCAGCCCCAAACCTGTGACGGCAGGAGACAGCAGAGGGTAAGACGAAGCTAGTTAGTCCAATAAAAGGTTCTAAGTTGGCTTCTTGTTCCGTTCCACCTTAAATGGTGCAGCAGTTACATTATGGCGCTCTGCTGCACCGTTTAAGGTGGAACGGAAAATCCGAACAAGAAGCTCAGACTCGTGAATGAAAACAACCAAAATAAAAGTCATGAAAATAGAGTTTTTCAGCTCCAGTCCTTTCATATAATCCCTATAATCCAGCTGCGCCGCACAATTTAATGTTCTGAGGTTCATATTTATTATTATTCGGTCCCAGAAGGTCAATAATGATGCAGCTGCACTGCAACACTGAACCTACACCGATCAGCCAAGTCCACCTCCTTGTTTCTGCGCTCATTGTCCATTTTATCAGCTCCACTTACTATATAGGTGCACTTTGTAGTTCTACAGTTACAGACTGTAGTCCATCTGTTTCTCTGCATACTTTGTTAGCCCCCTTTTACCCTGTTCTTCAGTGGTCAGGACCCCCATGGACCCTCACAGAGCAGGTACTATTTGCGTGGTGGATCATTCTCAGCACTGCAGTAACACTGACGTGGTGGTGGTATGTTAGTGTGTGTTGTGCTGGTCTGAGTGGATCAGACACAGCAGTGCTGCTGGAGTTTTTAAACACCTTGTTCAGTATGTAAAAAAATAAATGATCCCAGCTTTTTTTTTTTTTAAATGTCCCAACGTGTGTTAATATTAAAGCGCCCTTATTATGAAAAACTGAATTTACCTCCTTTTTGAAATATGCTAATTTGATGTAGTACATAAACATATTTTCCCTTTTCACACATTCCAAACCAATCATGAATACTAAGCTGCAAAAACAGCCCGTTTTGAATTCACTAGTCACGTTTACACGCAGTCTGAGTAAATGTTAATAATTGGACTAATAGCTCAGTCGGAATATAAAGCTTCCATGTAAATAGAATAGACGAGTCCGATTGAGGCCTTTCTGAAAACAAGTTCCTATACGACTGAACGAGGTGGGTAATCCTGTAAATCAAGTCAAGTCAAGTCAAGTCAGCTTTATTGTCAATACTACAATATGTACAGGACATACAGAGTATTGAAATTGCGTTACTCTCAGACCCCATGGTGTAGCAATAACATTAAATAGAAAAGCAATAATCTGTATAATATAAGAATAATATCCATGTAAACTCCTGTATCTGATTACATTCCCTACGTGAAAGTTTAAGTACGTTCTGATCATGTTCGTCGTGTCATAGTTAAAGTTTATACCGTTCAACATAGCGGAGCAGAAACTGGTCTGCAGAGGAGACGAAGTTTATGCTCTGATCTTTAAAAGACGGCGGTGGGACGGACGTCCAGCTCATGTGTCTCAGAACACGACGTCTTCCTCTCGGCCTTCTTTAATAAGGACATGTGAAGGACGTTTTCCTGAGTCTGACATCATTTTAAAGTCATTAAAAACACAAGCGCTGCTCACTGCTGCTCGTCTCACTCTGACTGGACTCACGTGATGCTTGTTGTCATGGTAACGCCTACACTAAATGGTTCTCTACGCATAATTTTGGATCAGATTACTGTGGTGAGCATGAAAACAGAGATTTTCATCAGATTGTTGAGTAAAGTGAGAATAAACACCTCAGTCTTAATCTGTAATCGGAATATATTCAATCGGATCGGTGAAAATCTGTGACACAGTCGAGGACAGCAAATCAGAACAGAGCACAGTAACAAAATAAAGAGAGTTTATAAAAATGGTCATGTTTTTCATACACAGAGCTACAGAAATGTTAGAAATGGACTTCAGAGGCAAGACCAACGTAGAATATGAGCCCTAAACAAACGTGTCTTTAAAAGGACAGAGATTTTCCCTGGCTGACCTAGTGTTCACAACCTAGAGCTGCCCATGTCCACCCTCTGTGTGGACCTTGATGTTGCCCTTGACCGCAGGCCAGACTGAAAGGCTGGAATAGTTACAGAAACGGGCTTGCAAAAGTTACTTGGCCGGACTTTTCCAGAATACCTGCGCTCGCTCCGTATCCCTGGACTGTGCGCGGCCTCAGACGACCCCGCTGTGCCTGAACTTCTCAGAAAATGAGTCTGATTTCAGGGACTGAACTGAGTTCAGGGTGGAGGTCACAGATCTTTAGACAGACCCCGAATGTGTGCAGATTACTGAACAACAAAACACTGTTTGTACAGTTGTGTGTAAAAGTCTGAAAGCCCCCCAGGCTGACTGTGTTTTGTTGATCTTCTAAGAGAAAATAAGTGAACACATCCTTAAAAATGGCATTTTCTGCTCAATTTTAATTTATTTGCTGAATAAAAATAAAACATAAACTATAAAATGTGCCGTAACTTTTGCACAGGCCACGTTTTCTCTTTTATTATTTTTCTCCAATATGTTTAAATAGTAAACAGTAGTCATGCATTAAATTGTGCAAAAGTGTGTTCTCTGTGGAGAACGTGTTAGAAAATGAAAGTAAGTCTTTAGTATAACTCTTTAGAGTCTAGTCTGACATTCAGTCACTGTTAACAAGGAAATTTTTTAAAATATTGCAAATAAATGTATGAAATAATTCTGTTATGATGCGTCTGCTGTACAATTTCATACATTTCAATGAATTATTATGAAGCTGTTAAGAATATAGAAATGTTGGAAATTTGGGGAAGAATTACCTGTCTGTTTGATTTACATTCTGTATCATCAGATTCTGCACTTCTGAGTATATCCTGTCAAAAAACGACACAAACATGGCAAAATATGATGGATAGTTTTTCTTTTCTGTACATACAATAATAATTTTTTACAAATTCAAATCATAATAAAATAATTCTGTGTATGTGTAGAGATGTGAGTGTGATTTAGGACAGAAAGTTCAGAATCTGCGTTTTCTGTACAATTACAGTTCAGATATTAGCAGATTAGATTTCATAACATGTTCTTGGGGGCTGTTATTTTAAGATTCTGAGCTCTGAAAGATCAGTTTACTAAACTAATGAGCTTTAATTTCCACACAAAACACTAACAGTCCAGATCCGAGGGGCATAAAGCAGCTTAGCTCCAGCTGTACACTGAGCTCAACCACAGAACTTTCCAAACCCTTTTAGCTGTAATACGGGACTGGGGGGGAGGTTGTGGGGACGGAGGTGGGGGGGTTACGTATGGCCTGCCGAGTGCTGAGCATTCATTAGAAATAAAACTGACGCTGAATCAACTAGAAATTATTTTAACTGTTTGGAAAAACACACAAAATTTCGAAACTGCTGCTGTTGATTCAGCTGTTTAACATGTTTTTATCCATTTTTATACACATCAGCGTCTCATACAGGCAGAACCTGAATAAGCAGATCTGTTAGAGAGTACCTAAAGGGACGTTCCAACCAAAATAAAAAATTTACCCGTCGCTACATCTGTCCTACACCCTTAAAAAAACATGGTTCTTTGGCTGTTCTTTAATAAAGAGAGTGGCTCTGCATAGAACCATGTGCACTCGAACCATCTGCACGCTTTAATGGTTCTTTGCATGTTGAAATAGTTCTTTAGATTGATAGAGGATGTGTTTTTTATGGTTCTCCGTCAATCTGAAGAACGATTTAATGATGCAAACAGTATTTTAATTGTTCATGGTTCTATCTATTCTATTTTACTAAAGAACCAATGAAGGTCCATTTGAAGAAGATTTGATTTGGCCTGGACTGGACGAGTTTCTGGATGTGGGTGACGTCGATGTTCAGCCACTCTTGCATCAAAGAATTACGCAGCTCGGCCAGATTTCGTGGAGCCTTCCCTGCGTCTTACTCGCTGTTCCAGATCGGCCCCCAGCTTTTCAATAGGATTCAAATCTGGGGATTTTGCAGGCCAGTCCAGATGTGTGAATGATCCTGAATGTTCATCATGCCAATCTGTCACATCTGCAGCCCTGAATTGTCATCTTGGAATACAGGGATAGGAATGTCATGTTCATGTCATGTTCCTCAGTAAGATGATGAACAAGTTGTCCAGCAGCTCAGTGTTGGCACTGCAGTTCACATTTACTGTCACTACAACCAAAAGACCCATTTCTGCATAATTATAACACCACTAGAACATCATTGACTTCTAGAAGCAATTCTTGCCTGGAAGTGAAGCAGTTTTTATTCAAAACACGCCGGCGTCCCTGTCTGTCAGTTTCATCTTTTGGCCACGATTCTGACGTGAATCTCCTGTAGACTGGGATTTCTCCACCGCTGGTCGACCCGTATGACCATACACTTCGATACACGTGCAAATTCAGCTACTTCCTTCACACTGTGGCCTTTGGCCGCCCAAATTCAATCACTCCTTTTAGGAGTCCTTAACATCTGCTTTGTGACCCATTTTCCACACATCTAACGAGACATTCACTGCACTGTACCACCTTTTCTCAATCTATGAATCCCATCGCACACCCCGCAGGTATTTATAGCCTGATCATCCTTGTGCAGCGCCATCTGCCGGAGCCTGAAGTTACTACCACCTTACGTTCACAAGGTGACTTTTGTTCGGGGAGCTTATTAAACTCTGGTTATAGGCTAAAATCCATCTATTAAGAACTTCACTGTAAATAAAAAGCTAACAATAAGCCATATACTTTCATTACTTGTTAGCAACATTAGCCTCGTCGCTCCAGTGCAAAAGCAAAGAAGTAAACTTCAGACACCAAACATGTCCTGGGGCTGATTGACTACGTCTACGTTTGGGGTAAGAAGCGGGGAAACTGTGTAAATTCAACGGAATTATCACTTTAATCACATTTTATATCAGTTAAATCATTTTAGATTATCTTTGAAGTGTGATTGGAGATCCAATTACTTACTTACTCTCCTTCCTTTCTCTCTCTCTTTCTCTCTTCACCAGAAATGATGGATCGCTGTTATCTGTCCTGAAGACGCTGCTGTTCTTTACCATCCTGATGATCACTCTTCCTATTGGACTATACTTTGCATCAAAGGCGTATCTGTTTGAAGGTGGGTCTCAACTGACCTTATATCTGACCAAAGACAAACAGGCTAATGCAAAGTGGGGGGGGGGTATGTAATCAATAACCCCGATTTTATTAATGCTAACAAAATCTCAAGCTGATTATGTTTAGATATCACCCAGGCTGAGTTCTGAGTCACAGAGTGTTACTGGATGCTCTACTAAAATCAGCTGAAAGCACTTTGTTTTATTCTTTTTCTCCAGGACCTGACTTTCAAAACAAACTGAAGTAATTAATGGACCATTCTGCCTAATTATTTCAGGTCCTGCAATAATAAAAAAAAAAAAAACTATTAAAAATGAATGAAGCGTTCAGACTTTAGATATTTACAAGGATTATGTTCTGATCTATTATTAAAATCTATTAAGATTATAATCTATTATTAAAACCCATGACGTTATTAGTCACCATTTATAGGGTAATTTCTATTGGGAGGTTCTGTCCCAAACCCTCACCCCTGAATTTACACTGATGAAATAATACTTGCTTGTTCTTTAAAAGTGAAACTGAAAGATTTATTTGTATCATGAGTTTTCATGTCACTACCGAAACACAGAGTTTTAGTCTTATTTTCAAAAGACTTCAGCTTCAGACCTCCTGGCTCCAATCAAATTGCAGATCTCTAGTTCCACTCAGGAGCCAGTGACAACACACCTGGCCACTAGCTGTCAAAATAAAAGGGCTGTGAGGCTGTGAGGCTCACCTTGTTTAACTCTTACCTTTAACTGTTCAAAAACACAGCACACTTCCTGTCCATCAAATATTATTATTATTTTACTAAAACCAACTTATTTTGCAGCACCAGATAACAAAATTATTCAGGATCAATGTTCATTTTCCCATCGTCTGGTGCATCAAATCAATGTTGACCTCCGATGTCAGTATTGATTTATTTGTTTACATCAATTTTATGCTGATTCAACATTGATTCTTCGTTATTTTTTGACGTATCTAAATGCAAAATCAATGTAAAATATTGTCACCATGACCCTCCTTATGCGCTTCTCTGGCCTCCTAAAAGTAAAGGATTTTATCTTGTTTTTATTCTATTCTTATAACTTATTCTGTGATTTTGCGGCGCCAGAAGGCACGTTTACGTGACTAGCTGTTCTGAGAAGCTTTCCATTCCTGAGCGGAACTGGAGTTCTGCAGTTTGATTGGCTCTTCAGCAGAGCGGAGCTCCGGAGGTCTGCAGCTGGACCGTTCTACTTATTTTAGCCACGCCCCCTGCATTTTAGAGCAGGAAGTGAGGCTGCATCCCTGTCCTCATGGCCACGTGGTGAACAATTGTGTCCCAGTGTCTGAAAATCAGCGTAGAGCATTAGGAATGGTCACTACCGAAACACATATTTATTACAGTTAATAACTTTTTAGTGTTTTAATGAAAAATATTAGCATTTTATTATATTATTATATTATATTACGATTTTTTGTGTATACAGCTGTTCAAAGCTCTGTTTGTTAGTCATGTTCTGGCTGTCGCTTTTGAGTTCTGCTCAAAATGAGCTAAAATTGTCAGCACCAAAACCTTTTTGTTTGTTTTGGTAGTGTTTTAATTGTTTTGGTAGTGACAAAATGGAAAGTTCAATCATTTGTTTTAATAAAACAATCATAATTAAAGTATGGGGTCACTTAAAGCAAAATGATTGTAATCTTTTAAAGTTGAAAGATTTATATTTATCATGGGTTTTCATGTCACTACCGAAACACAGTTTTAGTTTGTAGGCGGAGCCTTATTTTAGCCACACTCCTGCATTTTAGAGCAGGAAGTGAGGCTGCACCCCTGTGGAACCCACATGGTGAGCAGGTAGATCCCATTGTTTTGAAGTAAATGTGTCTCAAAGTCTGAAAATCAATGTGGAACATTAAAAATTATCATTACCGAAATAGAGAGTTTTAGTCTGTAGGCGGAGCCTTATTTAAAAACACCCTGGTAGAGCAGGAAGTAATTCTGCATTCCTGTCCCTCACGGCATCTTGGTGAGCAGTTGGATCCAATTGTTTTGATTTAAATTTGTCCCAATGTCTGAAAGTCAGTGTGGAGTATTAGGAATTGTCACTACCGAAACACATATTTTATGCAGTTTAGTACTTTTAATGAAATAATGATAAAAATAATAATAAAAAATATTATGATTTTATGTGTGAACAGCTGTTCAAAGCTGTTTGTCATGGACTGGCTATCGTTTTTGAGTTCTGCTCAAATTGAGCTAAAATTGTCAGCACCGAAACCTTTAAAGTTTTGGTAGTGTAATGACTCTTTTTGTAGTGACAAAATGCAACGTTTCATTCATTTGTTTTGATAAAATGAAGGTATAGGGTCACTCACAGCAAAAGGATTTTCATCTAAAGTCACTTAAAAGTCCTAAATGTCTGGTCAACTCTGACTTCAATTCTTGTCAGACTCACAGTCATCACAAAATTAAAAAAAAAAAAATCAAACAAAGTGCAAATATCGCTAGAAATATTCAGAAAAGACGCTGCAAAGTCAAACAGTTTAGCCCACAGCAATCACAAAAAAGATCCCAGTAGAGCTGTACAGAGTTCATCATTGCTGACGTCTAATATGGGCATATTTATGTCTCATGATTTGCGTTATGCCTCATTATGTTTGATCAGTTGTTCCGGGAAGCTTTAAATATTTCTGTCTCTGATTCCAAAACATCATTATGAAGTTGCTATAATGTCTCAGTCTGTTTGTGATGTGATTTGTATAGTTATGTAATTTTAATATTTATATATATATATATATATTATACACACACACACACACACACACACACACACATATATATATATATATATATATATATATATATATATATATGTAAAATAAATGAAAAGAAAAAATATTATGTTTTAAATTTATACTTATTTATTATATTATTTTATATTTATTATTATTACTAGTATTGTTATTAATTATACTTTAACATGTTTATTATATTATTTTTATGTAACTTATTATATGTATGTATTTAAATTTATTTATTTATTATACATTTATTTATAATTATATTTTAAATGTATGTAATTATATATAAAATTTGTGTATATATTTATTTATGTAACTCTGTTAAAAGCCAAACTGGACATGAAAGCAGTGTCTCCTGAGTCTGACAGTGTTGTTTCTGAACTTAATTACATTCCACATGATGATAATTGATTACGACTGATTCTGATTGATTGTAATCTTCTAAAGTGGGTGCAGTTACTGACCACACTGTGTCCTCTGTCCACAGCGTCTCTGGGCTACTCCAGCAACGACAGCTACTTCTACGCTGCCATCGTGGCGGTGATCGCGGTTCACGTGGTCCTGGCGCTGTTCGTCTACGTGGCATGGAACGAGGGATCACGGCAGTCGAGGGAAGGGAAACAGGACTGAGGAGAGGTGGAGCGAAAGAGCGAGAGAGAGGAGTGGAGGAAAGAGAGAGGTTTTTATTACGCTAGGAAGAGAAAATAAGAGAGATGAAGGAACGAAACTCAGTGCTGTATCAACTGATTTGTTATGGAAGGGAGAGAAACAGTGTGATGGTGTCTTAAACAGGAACGTTCTAATGCACTGAGGAACATCTATAGAACGTCTGCATGTGTTTACCTGAACTGTCAGTCAGAGGAAGGAAGCTGAACCCTTGACCTTGTCCAGTGGTTCAGGAAAGGTCAGAGGTCACCACGAGGCCTGGGGAGTGGTCTGTGTTTGTTTGTGTGACCTCCAGACTCAGTTACAACTAGAAGCTGGACAATGCTGGGCAGTGCTAGAGTAACTTTTTGCTGGGGAAGCATTGATATGGGAATTTTGGCATCTGATTTTTTCCTGTATACGCTTGTGTGCAAAAGTTTTGGCACCCCAGTTAAATTCCAATTCCATGTTGTTTTTGATTATCTGTGTGTAAATAAGTGAACACATCCTCTAAATGTAACTTCTGCACATTTTAATACTGTTTACTTGCTGAATTTGACACACTGGGAGCAAAATAAACCATAAAATGAGGCTCGTGCAGAAATTACGGTACATTTGATATTATATGGTTTATTTTTTTACTGTGTTAAACTCAAATATAAATTATGGAGAAAAATGGCATATATAAGTTCCTTGTAGAGGATGTGTTACCTTATTATCATGTAGAAAATCAACAAAACATGCAGTATGACTTGGGGTGTTCAAACTGATGCATACAACTGTATTTCTGTGGATATATGAAAATTGAGCAACTGGAACTACATATACTTAGATTAGCATAATAGAGAAACCAATATTTATGTCTGTGGAGTTACAAATATAGGAAATGAATAAAATGCAGATATTTCAGCGCAGTAACTCAGCTTTTTGCTCTTTCAGAGTACAATAAATACATCAAGCATCAGCTCAATATGTCCGATGCTAATATTGCTTAGATATCATTGGGAATCCCTGCTTACTAGGCCAAGAGTGTTGATCCAGGATCAGGTTTGCTTTTTATATTCTAGTTAATGCGCTCAAATCCAACAAATAGGACACTAAATCAAGCGCCTCCTCATACTTACAATGTGATCTATATGTGCTGCATGTAATGTACCATCAGTTACCATAAGCTTACATTTAAGTGTATATTCCTATAGAAAGGAAAACCTGCTGACCTGAAACTCACTTATTATAGAAGTCAATGCGCAGATGCTGAACTGAAGAAACGAATGAAATACAATGTCCAAAAGTTTGTGGACACCTCTTCTTATTAGTGAAAGAGTGCAAAGAAAAGCATTGACAGTAGAACAGGACGCTTTTGGGCAGCCACACATGAGCCTAAGGTCACCATAACCAATGCCAAGCGTAGGCTAGAGGGATGTCTAAAACCCCCCGGCATTGACCTGTTGAGCAGTGGAGCTGCGTCCTCTTGAGTGATGGAGCTCCATCCAATACCTTTGGGATGAGCTGGTGTTCCAGAAATGACCATCTAACATCAGTACCTGATCTAACTGATCCCACTGCTAAATGCAGTCAGATCCTCACAGCAATGTTCCAGCATTTAGTGTACAGCCTTTCCCAAAGAGTAAACTGTAGTTACTGCAGCAGAGGGAGACAAACTCCTTTATAATACTCTTGATTTTGGATAAGCAGGTGTCTGCAAACTTTTGGCCATATTGTGCATGTCAGTATATCGTTCAAAACTACAGCCACTACAGTTTAGAGCTGTTCTATGAAGTTTTATCCAGAAGTAGTTCCGGTCGCTTTCCCTAAGGTAATCGAGGAAAACTCCACCCTCTCCACCACAAATTATTCCCTGAGGAAAACTAGTTCCATCTCTGATAGAATCAGTTATACATTTACATTTGGTGCACAATTTCTGTTTATTTGAGTTTCATGTAGTGAAAAAAAATTAAAAATAAAACATGATACACAAAATGTTCCATATGTTTTACACAGGAGGCACATTTTATGTTTATGTATGTCCGTATGATAAAGTGGAACCAATTTTGCAAAATTACTCAATCATTTAATGGTTTAAACAAAATCAGTGGTTCAGTGTGAAATGCGCCTTTCTAGAGAAATTTGGGTGGTCTAGATGAAGTTGTTCAACTTTGGTATTTGTGTGTAGCTTCAAAACAAGTGGCCACAACTTCAGGATTTCTGTTACTTGTAATGGCAACTGAAAAACCACACCATCCTGTATTTTCTCCATTTATTTTTGTGTCCTAGTTCAGCGCAGTTCACCACCACTCTGAACAACTGTGATTTATCACAGCTCCACTGATAAATACTCACATAGCTACCTGTAATACATGTACGGCATTTGGCAGATGCTCTTATCCAGAGCGACTTACAAAGTGATCATTTTACACAGGTAGGCGAAGGTAGAGTTAGGAGTCTTGCCCAAGGACTCTTATTAGTATAGTGTAGGGTGCAGCCTAGGCAGGGGATTGAACCCCTGGCTCCAGTGTGGAGGGCAGAGGTGTTGCCCACTACACTATACCAACCACACATAGCTAAGTTCTGAGTTTTGTTGACACCATGTGACGCAACGCCGCCAACCCACACAACACAAAAGGCGTGCAGGGCAGAGAGGAACATGTAGGGCGTTGTGAGGAAAAAATAGTACCCCAAGAAAGCATTTTTTTTTTATTTAATACTGTTTACCATTATCAACATGACATGTAAAACCTACAAGACACATGTAAGATCACTGGTCATTTTGGATAGCAGATAAAATATGATATCTGTAGTGTAGACATACGGACGTCTGGTTCCTGTTACTACAATGGTGAACTATTCTGACTCTGTAAGTTTCTCTAGAAAGGTGCATTTCACACCGAACCACTCTGAACGGTTTTGTTTACATCTGAAACCATTGAATGATTCAGTAATTTTGCAAAATTGGTGGAGTTCCCCTTTAAATTCAGCAGATAAGCAGTAATTGTGCATTAAAGTGTGCAGAAGTGTGTTTACTGTAGCTTAGCGGATCAAAACAACGTAGAATTTTCATACGACTGTACAGCGTCATTTACAGATGCTTCTACTGTGAGTGACCTCCGAGTTGATGCCCTTTTCTAAGTGCAGGAAAAAGCCAAATGACTGTCTGCGGATGCAGCAGATGGAGATCATGTTGAGAAAACGCTGGAGTTTTCCTTTAAATACAGCCACAAGAGGGCTTGGCAGAACTGTAGCTCTCTCATCGTGTGGAACGGCGTGAATTAAAAGCTTGCATTTGGGATATTTACATTTAAATGGCCTTTATTTGCAGACATTAAATAGCAGTCACTAATCAGCAGCCCCTCCAGGCCTGAGTCATCGGCCCTCCTGGCAGATGTTTAAAGACTCCATGATTGGGTTTGTGTACGTTTAGTCTTTCGGCAGGATTTTCCCAACGTTCATGAGACGTTTTGCTCGAATCCAGAACAATAGCGGCATGAAATCATAGGAGAAGCTTATTTAATCTTTCAAGAAGCCCTAATTAAGAGAAGAACCGCCGCGTTTGATGGCAGCCTTTTAGCCGACGTCAGAGAGAAATCGGAGAAATCAGTGTTTGGGCCGCGCTCCACTTATGTGAATCGGTTGCCACGTCGACTTCTGTCCTGTTTCTCCGTGGCGATGTTGCAGCAGCCAATCAGAGACTTGGATTCAATTTCATATCAAAGCGCACAGTTTAGAAAGACTCTCAAACTGTCAGTTTCCATCGCAGCCTCTCGCGCTGTTTATCACTTCTGACACGTTTAAATGAGATCAGAGAGTCACTTCAAAGCATAGCAGAAGTGATTGATCTCCACTGTGCTAATTAAAACGCTCTTTATTCTGTGTTGGACGTTTAAGACATTATTTCTTATCCCTTGTTCTCTTAGAATAGTGTTGGAGACTCCTTAAAGGGAAACTCCACCAATTTTTCTAAATTTCTGCAGAATTCACTTGTTGTGAAAAGTCATTCAGAGTGGTTTGGTTTGAAATGCTTAGTTGTGGAGAAACTTACCAACCAACCAAACCACCAGTGAACCTACATGTGTCTTCTGAGTTGTACATGTAATGCTGATGATGGTAAATCAGTGATAAATCTGATAAAACAAGTTTTCTTTGGGGACTATTTTGCTTTACAATGCCTCGCATGTATCCCTCCGCCATGAATGGACTTTTAAAAATGCCTTTTAGGCCAAATTTTTCTCAGAACTATCATTAACAATGACATCAGGCAGTGAATTCATAACTATTTCATATAATAACTTTCTGTGAGGGAGCTTTTAGAGGTGGACGTCTGGTTCCCATCAGCACCACTGTGTCAGTGTAATTATGCAGAAAATGCAAAAAAATCTATGGATGTTCCCTTTAATAGTTTTTGTCATTATAATATGCTGTAATGTTAAATTATGTTAAATTATGTTTGTTCCCATCTTATTATTTTAATTGTTTGATGGCGATACGTGTACATCAGATTTCCAGATTGTAAGTTACTGTATTTGTTGTTTTGTTTTTGTTTTGAAGGATTTTTACATCGTTTCTTTACTTAATAAAAAAGTAATCAAGTTTTTCCAAGAAAAAAAATGTTCCTTGCATTTCAACATGTGATCCCAAATAAATCTTTTTCCACAATCTATGGAGCTGCACATTTATATTATTATATAAATAGTTTTTGCCATTGGAATTAACATTAATAATTGTCATTATAATAAATATTTTTATGCTGATGCTGGGGATTTCTAGGGTACAATAAAATTAACCGTGTTTGTTTATTTATTTGGTTGTTTGTTTGTTTAGACTTTTTAATTTCATCAAGGAAATATTTCAGTGTTAATTTTGGATAAATTAAGTACATTTTATCAGATAAAGTTAATAACAATGTTTCAAAGTAAACTTTTACTCCAAGGTTATTTATGTATGTATGTATATATGTATTAATTACAGTGCTTTCAGGGTGGGCACTGTATTGTTAGCTCTGTTATTAATTTGACAAAGCCAACTTACTGTTCTTTGTGTTCTCAACTGTGCTTTGTTTTATTATTCTGTAATTTTTTGTACTGTTTTCATGGGTTGTAATTTTCCAGTCTATACAGGAACACTGCGCTTGTCCTTCTGGGACTCATCACATATATGGTGTTCATATAGTGCTCATTCAAATGATTGGTTTTCCCCTGTAGGAAATGAACGACACATTGCTGAGAAAATTCAAGTCTAAGTGCCACAAATGATTCACACCTCTTACACTGACTCTCATAGATATCATGTACAGACTCTCATACAGACTAGCACACACACCATACATATAAATATATATATATGTATATATGTATGTATGTATATATGTATGTATGTATGTATATCTATATATGTATGTATATGTATGTACATACACTACATGGAGTCTTGGAACATCTACAGATCACACCTACAGAAGCTTTTATGACGTCCCATGTCATAAAAGGCGGTTTGAATTCTGCAGTTATTGATCAGCAGAGCGTTGGAGACTCTTATGCTCTGTGCTCCTCAGCACTCGGCGACCTGCTCTGTAACTTTACAAGGTCTGACACTTCGTGTCTGAGTTGCTGTGGTTTCTAAACGCTTCCACTTTTCAATAACACCACTCACAGTTGATCATTGAAAATCTAAGAGGGAAGAAACTTCACAAACTGACTTGTTGCAACAGAGGCCTCCTATTACAGCACCACGCTGGAATTCAGTGAGCTCTTTAGAACAAACCATTCTTTCACTAATGTGTGTGAAGGCAGGCTGCATGGCTAGCTGCTTGTTTTTATACACCTGTGGCAATGAGACTGAATGAAACACCTGAATTCAATGATTAAGAGGGGTGTGCCAATACTTTGTCCACAGTGTGTGTGTATATATATATATATATATATATATATATATATATATGTGTGTGTGTGTGTGTGTGTGTATGTGTGTGTGTGTGTGTGTGTATGTACATTTCTATTACATGTTAGCAAACACCTAGGATTCCGTAGCAACAGCGTACTAACACCTTAGCAAACACACCAGGGAACCCAGCCACTTTGGGATTACAATAGCAGCATTTTTGTCAAGCGAGCTTGAAGTTTATTTACAAACGTTCCTCCTTTCGCTCTTTTTCTTTTTCTTCTCTTTATGCTATTCATACAGCTCGAGCCTCAACATACAGACTCCATTCAGACACTGTTTCATGGATAATTTCAGTCAGAGATCAGTTTTCATAACTTTCATACTTTTTAAATGTTTTAGTTTAAAGTTCTTGATTTTCCCAAAGACGTTTATGGGGGATATTGAGACTGAGTGAATTCCAGCTGCAGCTGATGATGTCATAATGCTGTTGAAGCTGATTGGCTGAGATTGTTTAAAGTGTTTTACTGCACTTTACTCTTCTTTCAGCCCTTTAATGGCCTTTCAGCCTCCTCACTTCTCCTCAGCTCTCCTTCATTTCTCCTTTCTCTCCTCCTCACTTCTCCTCAGCTCTCCTTCATTTCTCCTTTCTCTCGTCCTCACTTCTCCTCAGCTCTCCTTTATTTCTCCTTTCTCTCCTCCTCACTTTCTTCTCAGCACTCCTTCATTTCTCCATTCTCTCCTCCTCACTTCTCCTCAGCTCTCCTTCATTTCTCCTTTCTCTCCTCCTCAGTTCTGTTCAGCTCTCCTTTATTTCTCTCCTTCCTGCCTGTCTTCTTTGCTTCATCCTCTTTTCTTTTCTTTCTTTCTTTCTTTCTTTCTTTCTTTTTGTTCTTTCTTCCTTTCTTCTGTTTTTCCTTCCTTTTTTCTCTTTTTTCCTTCATTCTTTCCTTTTTTGCCTTACTTGTCTTTTTCTGCCCTCCTTCCTTTTTTATACCTTCCTCTTCTTTTTTCTTCCTTCCATATTCTTTCTTCTGTTTTCTGTCCTTTTTTTGTTCTTATTTTCGTCCTCATTTCTCTTCAGCACTCCTTTATTTCTCCTTTCTCTCCTCCTACTTTTCTGTTTCCTTTTCTTCTATCCTTCTTTCCTTTTTCCTTTCTTCTTTTTCTTCCTTTTTGTCCATCCTTCCTTGCATCCCTTTTGTACTTTCTCTTTTTCTCATTTGTTTCCTTGCTTCCTTCCTTCCTTTCCACTTTGCTTCATCCTTCTTCTTTCTTGTTTTTCTGTTTTTTTCTTTTTCCATCCTTTTTCTCTTTTTTCCCTTTTTCCTTTCTTTTTTGCCCTACTTTTCTTGTTTTGCCTTTCTTTTTTATACATTTCTTCCTTCATTTCTCTTCTTTTTTCTTCCTTCCTTCCTCTTTCTTTCTTTCTTTCTTTCTTTCTTTCTTTCTTTCTGTCCTTCCTTTTTTCTTTGTTTTTCCTTTTTTCTTCCTCATTTTAGAAAATGCAAATCCTGTTTGATAATAATCAGTATATTATGTCGTTGTTGTTTATCACACTGATGCTGTGAGCGTTCAGTTATAACACTGCTGCATTATGGGGGAACTTGGTTTGTTTAAACCTTTGTTTCTGTGAACAGAATCCCTCTATAAAGCTCTGACAGCTGCTCTATGTTCCTCAGCATCCTCGACTTCTGTCAGTCTCCTAAAGTCGGTCAGGGCTGAAAAATCAGTGCTGAAAGCTGTGTGAGTCATAACATGAGAAAAAAGAGGGAAGAGAGGAAGTGATACTCTTGTTTGAAAGACAGAAAGAGAGAGATGGAAGGAAAGTGTAGCAGAACGTCGGTGCGGAAATTCTGAGCGCACGTCTGAGCGGAGAGAACAGAAGTGTCGGAGCTGCATGTTCCGCCATCCGCTCTGTTTCTGCGGCCAATCACATTCTCTCCATATCACCTCAGCGTCTCCCTGAGCTCAACTGGAGAAAAAGCTCATTTACATAATTTCCAAATGTAGATCAGCTCAGCCGCATTTGGCGTCTGAACTGTGCTTCTTTAGTTTTACGCTGGAGCTACGAGGCTAACGTAGCTAACAAGCAGGTGCGGGTTACCAACCAGGCCTACTGGGCACGTGCCCAGGGGCCATGACCACCAGGGGGCCCTCAACCAGCACTGATTTACACTAGCCAGTTTGTACTGATATCCACTGTGCTAGATTTATTTTAACACACACACCACCTACCAACACATCGAGTTCACCAATGAACGCTCGGTTTGGTCTGAACCATTTTTGACCACGAAGTGTTTAATTTGGACTGTCTGTTATTAAAAAGAAAACCATGGATGACCGCAGACCCACACTCGGCAGGTCGATGAAGACACGTAAAAAGGAAAGAGAAGCCAGAGAAGCAGCATTACTGGAAAAGGTTGCTTCTCTCTCTGTTTTTTCCGGAAGTCAGAACTAACAAGTAGCCAAACAGTAGCAGCACATGACGATAGTGCTGAGGCTAGTGCTAGCTTGATCTCACAGAACGTTTCCCAGCCAACTTTACTACCACAGTGGGAGTTAAATGCAGCAGAGGATGCTAATATCGGCATTGTGGTCTTGGCAGCGTCTCCTAAAGCCACCAAAGAGAACGAACTTACTACGGTTAACGCAACTGAACCCAAGTTCACAATTGAAAGATGACTGCTGTGAGAAAACAACAGATCCAGAGCTCTGAGGGAACCAGAAAAGCTGAGAACTGTTCTGATCAACAAAGTTCATAACAAAGTTGCTAAAATTCATGCTGAGTTACGACCTTCAGTCAACGTTCCCAAATGTTTATGCTGCTCTCCGTCTTTTCCTGACACTTCCAGTCACAAACTGCGAGGAAGAACGTTCATTTTCTCTAATGGGTCGGATTAAAAATGAACTAAAATGCTTCCCTGCGTCCCTGCTAACAAGTAATAAAAGTAGCCCATTAGCTTACATGCCTAAATCATCACCCATCGCCTCTGTGTTGAGTTGTTCAGTGTTTTCTGACACTGTGATGGAGCTTTAAACTGAGATCACAATTTAAAAATGTGACATTTTGAAATCGCTAAAGCTGCACTATGTAAGATTTTGTTGTTAAAACTGTAAGAAGTGTCGTTACTGAGTGAGGAGAATTAAAACAGGCTAAAATGTGGCGAGTGTGCGCTGCTCTAAAACCGTTGTCCTATAAAACTGGAAATAATCATAATCAGTCAGAGGCGCCAAGTTTTTCACAACATGTCGTACGTCTTTACATATTAACGTCACACACAGAGGCTCAAAAAGAAGCTCCGGCTCAATGTTTAGGCCTTAATTGCAAAATCAACATTATACTGATGAAGATATGATGACAGAGTCAAAGCTTTGTCATTTCACACGCTGCATGCAGTTACATATTTCCACCAGAGAGGCCTCCAAATCTCCAAATCTGACGTAGTGTAGCTTTAGTTATAGCCTATAATAGCAGTAAGGTTTTTACAAGCTATAAGCAAAGAAATTAAACCTGAGCTTCTGAACTTCCTGTACATAAATTTGACCAATCAGAAGCAACTGAACATCCGTGTGCTGTGCTGGTGCAAGAATAAGTGAGCTAACAGATATGAATCTGATTGGTGATGAATATATATTAATTAAGGAAACTCAGTACATTGTCCTTTTTAGGCCATGTTCACATTACAGAGTTGATGCAGCTCAAATCCTGTTTTTTTGCCTAAATGTGAACACAAATATATGAATTATTCAGATTATTTCTTGTAGCTCTGGTACGCGTCC